TGGGGAATCACGACGCGGTCTCCCCACAGCAGACAGCCGCGATGAGCTGAGAGTTCATGTTGTCTGGTTGCGAAGGGCTGGAACTCCGATGCAAAGGGCCCTTGTGGCCACCCCCTCCACACCCAGTTGAGCACCCGGCTGATGGTGCGATCCTGAGCAGATGCGGAGGCCACAGTGGCAGCCGATACAGGCGCTGCCGGAAGATCCTCAATCAGAAGGAGCGATGAAGCTGGAGCCGGGTCTTCCACAAATGCTGGAAGAGGGCAACGGCTGAGGGCGTCGGCATGGCCCATCGATTTCCCCGGGCGATGGATGAGCCGGTAGTGGTAGGCAGCCAGGAAAACAGTCCATCGCAGCATGCGTGGTGAGAGGACCGGTGGAGTTGGACGATCACCGGCGAGGAGGCCCAGGAGTGGCTTGTGGTCAGTGATGAGGTCAAAAGTCCTGCCATAGAGGTATTCATGGAACCTCTTCACTCCAGCCACAAGTGCCAATGCCTCCTTGTCGAGCTGGCTGTAATTCCGTTCCGTCGGAGATAGTGTCCTGGAAAAGTAGGTGAGCGGTGCTTCTCTTCCATCTGGAAAACGGTGACTAAGGACAGCACCGATGCCAAAAGGTGAGGCGTCGCAGGCAAGGACCAGCGGCCTGGATTCACTGTACTGTACCAGCACACTGTCTGAAGAAAGGAGAGCCTTGACCGCGTTGAAGGCCGCCGTCTCCCGATGACCCCAGGCCCAAGGCGTCTTAGTGCTAAGGAGTCGGTGAAGAGGCTCAGCCACTGTGGCTTTGTGGGGCAGGAACATGTTATAAAAGTTCAGCAGCCCCAGGAATGCCTGCAACTCCGTTTTGTTCTTTGGAGTGGGGGCCTGCTGGATAGCGCGGATCTTGGATGTGGTTGGATGAAGACCGGAGGCATCGATAAGATAGCCCAGGAACTCTACCTGTGGAACGGCGATCTGGCACTTCTCCCTCTTTACCTTGAGCCCGGCCTCCTGGAACCTGGTCAGCACGGCACGGAGGCGCTCGAACAGCTGCTGGTGTGAGTCTGCAGACACCAAGACATCATCAAAATATGGTACCACGCCTGGAAGCCCTTGCAGGAGACGCTCCATAAGGCTTTGGAAGATGCCAGGAGCCACACTCACCCCGAACTGCAACCGGCGGCAACGGAATGCCCCCCGGTGGGTGACGATCGTCTGGGCTTCAGCAGTGGCATCATCGACTGGCAGTTGTTGATAGGCTTGGGCAAGGTCCAGCTTAGCGAAGACCTTACCCTCACCCAGGGAATGCAGCAGGTGTTGGACAACAGGAACCGGATAAGCGTGCTGCTGAAGTGCCTTGTTGATCGTGCACTTGTAGTCAGCGCAGATTCTCACCGACCCATCTGGCTTGACAGGCGTGACGATGGGGGTTTCCCACTTTGCGTGGTCAACCGGCTCCAAAACTCCTTGGGCGATCAGTTTGTCCAGTTGTTCGTCCACCTTAGCCTTGAGAGCAAAGGGAACCCGGCGTGGCTTTAGCTTGATGGGGGCGACTTGTGGATCAAGGCTAAAGGAGATGGGCGTACCTGTATATTGGCCCAAGGTGCCGTCAAAAACCTCGGCAAAGTCTTTGACCAGACCCTCAGTCTCTGCGTTAGAGATGCAGTTGATGCCGGTGACTTCCAGGCCGAGGGCATCAAACCAGTCTAGCCCTAGGAGGCTTGGCCGCTGACCTTCGACCACCACCAACCGGAGCAGGCCCGAAAAATCCTTGAAGGCGATCCGGAACCGGCCAACGCCTACCACGGGAATGTCGTTTCCCTGGTAGTCTCTCAGGTGTACGCGGTGAGAGTCGAGTTGCCTTTTGGACACTCTGGGTACCAGTCTTTTGATGGTGCTCCATGACACGATGGACAGGGCAGACCCGGTGTCGATCTCCATGTCACATGGAGCTCCTTCAATGAGCACCGTGACGTTCAGCTTGCGTTGCGTAGGCGAGTCGGTTTGGCCAATCGTGGTTCCAGACGGGCAGCGGCAGTTGGTGAGAGCGAAACAACTTTCCTTGGCAGACTGGAGTGAAGACTTGGACTTGCGAGTCGATGAAGGGGGGTGTCAGACGGAGCCGATCGGCAGACCTTAGCGATGTGGCCCCTTCTGGAACACTTCCTACAGATGGCGTCTCTGAATCGACACTTGGCACGGGAATGGTTGCCTCCGCAGCCAGCACATTCCGGTTGGCCCTTGGACTTCTGTTGGAACTTCCTGCGCTCCCGCTTTGTCTGGTGCACGTCATCGTCTTCACTGGAGGATGCCTCCTCACTGCTGGCCTCTTCATGATGCACCGGAACTGGCTCCCTAGCAAGACGCGGGCTGCTGGACTTGCGGATCTCCTGGGCGGAGCGTTCAGCAGCTTCTGAGGCCACAGCCTCCTCAATGGCTTTCTGTAGCGTGAGGTCTGGCTTGGCTAGGAGACGCCGTTGCAGATGGATGTCCCGGACCCCGCAGACGATTCGATCCATCAGGGCATCGTCTAAGTCTCGGAACTCACAGTGCATTGCAGCCTGTCGCAGGGCGGTGGTGTAGTTGTTGATTGACTCCCCCTCTGCCTGGTTCCGGTGGTAGAACGCATGGCGGGCAGCAATCTTGGACGGCTTTGGTGCGTAGTGGTTGCGGAGCTTCTCTTGGATCGTGTCCCATGGTGTTGCCTGGACTGCTTCAGGCGCAACCAACGCTCGGGCCGTCTCAAACACCTCAGGCCCACAGAGGCTGAGGAATAGGCCCCGCTTCCGATCCTTTGATACTGCTGTCAGCTCGTTGGCTTGGAGGTAGCAGTCGAACCGAGCGAGGTAGGAGTCCCATGATTCAGAGGCTGGCGCAAACGGCGGTAGAGGCACAAGTGAAGCCATGATTCCGATGCCGGCGTGAAGGGCGATGGATGGAACACAGTGCTCTAGCCAGAACAGTCAGCTCTGAATTGGTTCTGCCCAGTGATTTCGCTCAGTGATTTCGCTCTGTGATTCAGCTCAGTGATTCAGCTCAGTTCAGAGGCTGGCCGCATCTGGCTGTGCTCTGATGTCCATCCATCCCACCTTCGTCGCCAGTGTTAAGTCGTGGGTTGACATAGCAGCCGGCACAGCGATTTCTTCAAGTAGCTCTTTATTATGGCAAGCTGGAATAGAACTGACTGCGAACAGCTCAGCCGGCCTGTATTTATAGGCAGCCGGCTGTCAACATTGTAACCACAACAGCCCAGAGTTCCCGCCTAAAATAACTGGCGCGGACCTGAGTGAAAACTATATACAGTATCCCCCTGTTGGCCCAGGGTGAAACTACACTACATAACACCCCCCAAAAAAATCCTTGCTACTGCACGGCTGAGGAAATGTTTTTCTGCCATTGGCTAGAAGTGGAATTAAAACAGTGGTTTAATTAAGGACTTAATATTGAGCTATATAACCTAGCAATGCCTGTTCCCTTACCCAAGATCTTTTATGTTTACTGAGAAGTTCCACTTAACAGAGGTCATCGGCACCTTTAATTAGAACCTTCCTCTTGGCAGCTTCTGCCCCAGTTGTTTCTTATGAAGTGAGCTAGGGATGATGGGAGTTTTAGTCCAACATCAGCTGGAGGCTCAAGTTTGAGAAACAATGTGAGCGCCTTAATTACAGTACTTTGTTCCACTCAACTTTCATATCATGACAGGTTGCTTGGGGAAAACTACCACAAATCACCTTGCTTGGGGGGTAGGCGCTTATTGCCAATTTGCTACTAGGCCAAGTTCGATGTGTTGGTACTAACAATTAAAGTTCTATACAGCTCAGGATCAGGTTATTTGACAGACCCTACTCCTTAAATGCCCAGTATAATAATAGATCACTGTATTCTGAAGGAGTTTCTTCTGCAAGTTCCAAAGATCTCAGAAGCCTGCCCCACAGTAACCTGGAGTACTGCTTTCAGTGTGGCTGCCCTTGTTCTGTGGAATAGCATTCCTGTCAAGAAACACACAGGCTTTCCCAGCTGGGTAAATGGGTCTTTGCCAGGAGTGTCTATTTTGCATTGTTTTAGGGATGTTTTTTTAAAAAAACGTATCGATGGATTTGTGTGTATGTGTGTCCGTGTTCCTGTTTTTATTATACATTGCCTTGACATGATTGTGCATAAAGCATTTATTTACAGAATTTACATACATACATACAAACATCAATAAACACAGCAATAAAAGCAAAAAAGACAGTTCCTGAGCTATCACTTTAATTTAAGCAAACAAGAAGGAAAGGCAGAAATAAATTTATCCTAATTTCTGCAGTGGTGGGGTGGGGCGCTAAAATGTGTCACCCTGTCCCTGAATTCTCTCTATGGTGAAAGGTTCATATCGCCCCTAAGATAAAATAGATTGTAGCACACGAAAGATGATGCCGCAAAAATGAAGTCACACGCCACTGCAGTACACATTGGTGCTTTCCGTATATTGTAAATACAACCACAGTATACATTTATTTGCCCCTTTTACTTCAGGCACAGAGGTTTCATCACTGCGATGCCGTGGGATAGAGTGACATCACTTTGAGACCATAGAGACTCAAGGCCAAGAGCGGGGTATTTCAATTTTTACCAGAGCTCCAGTGCTTCTCCGTTTCCCACCAGCACTTCCGCCTGGCAAAACACCATTAAACTCTTTTGCCGGGGGTGGTTTTTTGTTTTTTCTACTCCGTGTAACTTCGTACAATAGCAGACACGGCAACTTTTTCTCTTAACGATAAGTATTTCTACATCAGTGATATTCAAATGAAGTAGAAATAGAGTGGGTTCTCCCACTGCCCCCCTCTTTCGAGCAGCCTAGTATGAATTGGTATGTTCTAACGATGGCGGACGAACGGACGCCATAGAGAGGGGAAACCAGAGCGACGCCGGAGCCGGAAGCAGGTGAAGCGGTGTGGGCACGGGCAGCTGCTGTGCTGGTTTTTAAAAAGTCGTGTGCTGAGGGGTCTTGGAACGTTCGGTGGGTGACGACGGCGACGTCCGTGTCCTCGCGCCATGGTAGGTGGCTGGGCAGGTGAAGGCGTGCGCGCTCTGAGCATGACGCTCCTCCTCGCGGGGTCGCGCTGGCAGCCTCGGGAGAAGTTCTGCTGTTGTTCCTCCGGCCTCTTCCCTGCCGGGACGGGGCTGGAGACCTAAGGCCACAGTGGTCTTTTCTCAGCAGTTGTGGGGGGATTGAGTAGGCATAACAGTGGGGCAGAAATGGAGGCAGATGGCACGGGCTGCATACGCGCCATACATTTGAAGTGCATTTCTCCTCATCTCTGGGAGCTAAAGCTGACCCTCAACACGCTACAATTCCCAGCAAAACTACACTTCACAAAATTCCTGGGGAGATGTGCTTTAAATGTACAGTGGTACCTCGGGTTACAGACGCTTCAGGTTACAGACTCCGCTAACCCAGAAATAGTACCTCACATTAAGAACTTTGCTTCAGGATGAGAACAGAAATCGTGCAGCGGCAGCAGGAGGCCCCATTAGCTAAAGTGGTACCTCAGGTTAAGAACAGTTTCAGGTTAAGAACGGACCTCTGGAACGAATTAAGTTCTTAACCCGGTACCACTGTATGCCGTGTACGTAGCCAATATCACTTTTGTAATCTTGATGTTTGTTTGCACAACAAATGAAGAAACATTTGTTTTGCTTTCCTCATGGGTATCCCAAGGCATTTCAGCACCTGAGGCGAAATGTGCCACTGCCACCCTTGCGATGGAGTGTAAGAGCTCTGTTTCTCCTTGAGGAGCCCTTGTGGAGTCTCACCCGCCAAGCAGCAGATCCCCTGCTCCTACCCAGCAGAGAGGTTTTGCACCAGCTTCTCCTGCCACACCACCAGGCGGGGAGATCTCAACCATGCCCGGTGGCAGTGCTGGATGGCAGAACGCCTCCCCTCTTGTTGACCCAGCGGAGAGACCAGCGACAAAGCTGGTTGGCGGAACCGGCATGCTGCCCCTTGGGGGGGGTGCCGCCTGAGGCAGCTACCTCACCCTGCCTCATGGTTGGGTCTGCTCTGGCTTTCTTACCCACCAGGCAAAAGGTATTTGGAACACTCAGGATCTCTCTTACAAGAAGCTGAGATCTGTAAGCCCGTGTCAGAGACATAAAACAAGTGCATAAATGTTGGTTGCTGCAAGTGTGTGTTTGTTAACCTAGGGATTGTCAGTTTTGAAAGCCAGCAAAACTTTCCTGGGTACCACACACATACACCATGCAGCCAAGCACACGCCACAGCCTAATCTCTTGGCTACAGCAGAATGCTTATTTCAAGCCCGCAAGGAAATGATATCATGCAGGTGCCAAGTGCATTTGTGTCTGCAGGCACCAGATCAGTGGGTAAGCCTATAAACCAAACAACTTTTGACTAATTTGCTTTGCTTTTCACTTTCAGATACTTGTAAAGGTTATTGGAATTTTCAGTCAAATGCTGTCCATATACTTAGGCAGAAAAGTGGTCAATTATGGATCATTCTTAAGTATCTTTACTTTGTTTTGCAGCCTCACAGGCGGAAGAAACCCTTCATAGAAAGAAAAAAGCTGTAACCTTTCATTTAGTACACAGAAGTCAGAGGGACCCGTTGGCAGCAGATGACACTGCACCCCAGAGAGTTCTGTTACCTGCACAGAAGGTGGTTATAAAATACAGTGTTGTGGGAGAGTGGCTGAGCTTTTACTTTTCAGAGGATTGAGCCAGAAATTATTTCAGCCTTGAAGTTTTGGGGTTTGTAATAATGTGTAATAATTCCCTAGCACTTATTTGCATTACAATTTTTGCATTTTGAAACCAAGTGGCATACATACTACACTCTGTAGTTTTCAAGGAAGTATAGTTCAAAGAAAAATCTAATTGGGCTACTTGGAGGTGAGGGAATGCTAAAATCTGTGTTCACACACTTCATAAAAAGTGTTTAGAAAGTTACTGTATCCAAAGTGCCTGCTTTCTCCCTGAAATATTTGCTTCCTTGTATTCTATGTTCAGCAAAAATACTGGGCAGATGCTTTTATTGTTAAACCGCTTTGAAATGTTTCATGGGAAGTCATTCATAACTGGAATTATTACATAAATAAATAAATTTGGGGTGTCTCCCTCAAAAAAAACAACCTTTAGGGGGTTGATGAAAAAAGAAGAGAGGAACAGAGGAAATATGGAGTATTCTTTGATGATGATTATGACTACCTGCAACATCTCAAAGAAGCTTCTGGACCTTCTGAGCTCGTTCCATCAAACATACCCAGTCAACAAGGCAGGATTGTTGTGACCACAGAAGGAGAGGTACATGAGGAAATTCAGCAAATTCCAGTAAGTACACAATGTACTTGTCATGGTACTCTCATAAGGACATTCAGCAAAGACGTCATGTTTTTAAAAAGTTATTTTTTTTAAAAGGCAGGATTGAAATTATTAAATAAAGTATTCTGAAAACTTCTAACTTAATAAATGTTGTGATGAAACATTGCGGATATCACACCTATGTTGTTGTTTTTGAAATCTTTGAGGCTTCAGCCTACGAAACTTCCTACCTTAATACCTAATAAAGTTCTCAGGCAGGCCTTAACGAATGTTGCATTCACTATAAAACCTTTAACCACTGCCACCAAAATAAATCCTCTATAGAATCATAGAGTTGGAATAGACCACAAGGGCCATCGAGTCCAACCCCCTGCCAAGCAGGAAACACCATCAGAGCACTCCTGACATATAGTTGTCAAGCCTCTGCTTAAAGACCGCCAAAGAAGGAAACTCCACCACACTCCTTGGCAGCAAATTCCACTGTCGAACAGCTCTTACTGTCAGGAAGTTCTTCCTAATGTTTAGGTGGAATCTTCTTTCTTGTAGTTTGGATCCATTGCTCCGTGTCCGCTTCTCTGGAGCAGCAGAAAACAACCTTTCTCCCTCCTCTATATGACATCCTTTTATATATTTGAACATGGCTATCATATCACCCCTTAACCTCCTCTTCTCCAGGCTAAACATGCCCACTCCCTTAGCCGTTCCTCATAAGGCATCGTTTCCAGGCCTTTGACCATTTTGGTTGCCCTCCTCTGGACATGTTCCAGTTTGTCAGTGTCCTTCTTGAACTGTGGTGCCCAGAACTGGACACAGTACTCCAGGTGAGGTCTGACCAGAGCAGAATACAGTGGCACTATTACTTCCCTTGATCTAGATGCTATACTCCTATTGATGCAGCCCAGAATTGCATTGGCTTTTTAGCTGCCGCGTCACACTGTTGGCTCATGTCAAGTTTGTGGTCAACCAAGACTCCTAGATCCTTTTCACATGTACTGCTCTCAAGCCAGGTGTCCCCCATCTTGTATTTGTGCCTCTCATTTTTTTTGCCTAAGTGCAATACTTTACATTTCTCCCTGTTAAAGTTCATCTTGTTTGTTTTGGCCTAGTTCTCTAATCTGTTAAGGTCGTTTTGAAGTGTGATCCTGTCCTCTGGGGTGTTAGCCACCCCTCCCAGTTTGGTGTCATCTGCAAATTTGATCAGGATGCCCTTGAGTCCATCATCCAAGTCGTTGAATAAGACCAGGCCCAAGACAGAACCCTGTGGCACCCCACTAGTCACTCTTCTCCAGGATGAAGAGGAACCATTGATGAGCACCCTTTGGGTTCGGTCAGTCAGCCAGTTACAAATCCACTGAGTGGTAGCATAGTCAAGACCGCATTTTACCAGCTTCTTCACAAGAATATCATGGGGCACCTTGTCGAATGCCTTGCTGAAATCAAGGTAGGCTACATCCACTGCGTTCCCTTCATCTACCAGGCTTGTAATTCTGTCAAAAAACGAGATCAGGTTAGTCTGACATGACTTATTTTTCAGAAATCCATGCTGACTATTGGTGATCACAGCATTCCTTTCTAGGTGCTCACAGACTGTTTGCTTAATGATCTGCTCCAGAATCTTCCCTGGTATTGATGTCAGACTGACTGGGCGATAATTATTTGGGTCCTCTCTTTTCCCCTTTTTGAAAATAGAGACAACATTTGCCCTCTTCCAGTCTGCCGGGACTTCGCCTGTTCTCCAGGAATTCTCAAAGATGACTGCCAGTGGTTCTGAGATTACATCTGCCAGTTCTTTTAATACTCTTGGATGCAGTTCATCTGGCCCTGGAGACTTGAATACATCTAAACTAGCCAAGTATTCTTGTACTATCTCCTTAGTTATTCTGGGCTGTGTTTCCTCTGCTGAATCATTTGCTCCAAATTCTTCAGGTCGGGCATTGTTTTCTTTATCGGAGAAGACTGAGGCAAAGAAGGCATTGAGGAGTTCAGCCCTTTCTGTGTCCCCTGTTTGCATTTCACCATCTTCTCCTCTGAGTGACCCCACTGTTTCTTTGTTCTTCCTTTTGCTACGAACATACCCATAAAAGCCTTTTTTGTTGCTTTTAACCTCTCTAGCAAGCCTGAGTTCATTCTGTGCTTTAGCTTTCCTGACTTTGTGTCTACACGTGCTGGCTATTTGTTTGAATTCCTCTTTGGTAGTTTCCCCCCTTTTCCATTTTTTGTACACATCCTTTTTTAATCTTAACTCAGTTAAAAGTTCTTTAGATAGCCACCCTGGCTTCTTTAGGCACCTTCCATGTTTCCGTCTCATTGGTATTGCCTGAAGTTGTGCTTTTACTATCTCCCTCTTAACAAACTCCCAGCCTATGTCTTGAAGAAACCCAGGAGCCTGCTTCCTGTGACATAGACATGGGATTGACAACACAACTAGAGACAGATGAACAAACTTGAGTTTTTTGTTAATTGAATTATTTACATAAAAAGGAAAAAAGTGTTGCTTTTCAGATGGTAGGATGCAATTTATTAAGTGTACAGTTTGCAGTTAACCAGGGTATCTGCTGCTACAGTTCCTAACTGTTCCTAACATCTAAGAGGGTTTTTTGCAGCCAGATAAGCCCCCTCCCTAGGACCCGATTTGCTTGACCTTCACACCAGGCAGCCATAAGGAGGAGCTAATGCTGAGCAGCAGATATCTTCCTATTGACTTTTAGAATAGTTCAGATGTTTGCTGAAATCCACCCTCTGGTCAAGAGCTCATCTTGAAACCCTGTGGTTCTGGATTTTGGTGCCTATTTGAAGCTTCACCACTACCGCAGAGCATGCCTTCATGCTCTCCCCAGCTGCCAGTTCATTTCCCAGCAGTTTTCTCACAGACTGCCAGCATTACTCTTTCCAAGCTGAGCTCTGCTCTCCTCTAGTTGGCAGCCAACTGACAGATTGGCCTTTTGTTCTCCCTCCAGCCAGAGCCTTCTCACCACTCGTGTCCTTGCCCCTGTCAGGGAAGCCTTGCCTGTCTGTCTTCTTTCAGGGACTAGTCAGTGATTCTACATGAACAAATTCTAGCGGGCAGTTGAATTTATGGACCCCTTGATGGAAGCAAATTGCATTTTATTCTACACCTGGTTCATCTATAAACAAAGGGAGCTTCTCCCACTAGTCATTTTCAGACAGTCATCTTGAAACCTCCCTCCTTAGCAACTGTTACTAAGGCAGCCATAAGTGTTTTGTGACCATCACAAAGTCACAGAGCTAGGCTTCTGGTCTTTTAGGTTGCATTATAACCTCAGCCACATGTTTCTCTCAGAATATAAATGTTACTAAGTATTATCATCAGTTTATTTTGTAATCAGCCTTGCCACAAAGAACTACGCTCCAAAGCAATGTACCGTAGCAATGAGAACAAAAATGCAACTGCCTCCTTTCACTGATTGATTCTGTGAATTTTGTTACAATGGACTAACATGGCTTTTTAACTCCTATTGGTGTGAATAAGTCTGTAGTAATAGTAGCTAATAACACAAATGACAGAGTTTTGTAATTTTTAAATTCAGTTTCTGTCGAGCAGATTTATAGAAGCCCTTTTCAACCTATGAGATGGGGGGGGAGTGCTGTATGTCTCTTTGGCAGCCATTTGGAAGGATTAGAGGTGTGGAGGGAAGATTTTTACCAAACACGTATCAATTAATAAGTTGGCTAGTGGTGATGGAACATACTGCCATAACATCATAGTTTGTGCATCCACCAAAAAAACAACCACCCTGGGACATTTTCCAGAAGTTACTTATAAGCAGGATTTTGGATTCCAGCTTGTCAACTTGCACTCCAGAGAAGCCTCTGTAGAATAAATTCTTACAGATACTAATCCACTGTGGGAGGGGAATGAACATGTGTTGCGTCTCCAATTTCAGAAGAAAGAGGCAAATATTTTTTAAAGCAGTAGTAATATTTGGTGGTTTTTGTGTCTTGAGTAATTTTTGGGGGGGGGAATGACTGCTGTTTTGTTCTTTTTGCTTTTTAGGCCCCTACCATTAATTTGCCCTCATCAGTGTTTGCATCAGAATTTGAAGAGGATGTGGGATTGTTAAACAAAGCCGCTCCCATTTCAGGTACTAAATTTGCACTGCAGTCTGGTCTATATTTACTAAGAAGATATACTGTGTTAAATGGAGGCTACTCTCTAGAAAGTGACTCTCAAAGTATAGGCTTAAGCTGTCTGTCTGTCATAGCATCTATTATTATAGAATGCTTGAAGCTGCAAAATTTCTATATTAGCAGCAGCAGCATCACTATGTGGTCTAATAGAAAATAGGAGGTGAAACTATTTTCTAGGTGCTTTGGGATTGCATAGATTTCTTTATTCTTCATTCAGAATCAAATTGGCATCAATTATGCAGAACAGAAGGGACGCGGGTGGCGCTGTGGGTTAAAGCCTCAGCGCCTAGGACTTGCCGATTGAAAGGTCGGCGGTTCGAATCCCCGCGGCGGGGTGCGCTCCCGTTGTTCGGTCCCAGCGCCTGCCAACCTAGCAGTTCGAAAGCACCCCCGGGTGCAAGTAGATAAATAGGGACCGCTTACTAGCGGGAAGGTAAACGGTGTTTCCGTGTGCGGCTCTGGCTCGCTAGAGCAGCGATGTCACACTGGCCATGTGACCCGGAAGTGTCTGCGGACAGCGCTGGCTCCTGGCCTATAGAGTGAGATGAGCGCACAACCCTAGAGTCTGGCAAGACTGGCCCGTACGGGCAGGGGTACCTTTACCTTTACCTTATGCAGAACAGATAAATGTTTTTGCATGATGCATGGTTCTACCATGCTAGAAGTAAGTCTTATGGAAACAGGGAAAAGGACACAACTTTTATTTCAGTTTTGTAAATACTCAGAATAGACCCATTGAGATCATTGGACTTGTCCATTGATTTTAGTGGATGAACTCAAAATTTGACTTAGGACTCAACTATACAGCTGCAAATAAAACATTTTAAGTGTGTTTTAAGTGCAATATACAAAGTGACACTAGATGGTGATGGTGAGCCTTGTGGAAAATTCACTTTCTGAGAAATGGCTTGTCATAATTCATTTATAAGGTGTTATTTTATCTATTATTAGGGCCTAGGCTGGATTTTGATCCTGACATTGTTGCGGCACTTGACGATGACTTCGATTTCGACAATCCTGATAATCTTCTTGATGATGACTTCATTTTAAGGGCGAATAATCAAGGAAGCACAGAGCAGGAAAAGGAAGCTTGTTGGTAATGGAATGGAAAAAGTATTACTGTCCTTCGTTGCCTTTCTGTTCTTTGCCACTGGGCAAAACGTTGCTAAGGAACTATCTTCATGCTCCTTTCCATATAGATACTAGGTATAGTATTCCATATAGATATAGATAGAGTCTGAAAATCAGCACCTCATCAGCTATTTAATTGTAAAATAAGAAAAATAATGACCTATGACCTGGTTAGACAAGAAGTCCGAAAAGAAATGAGGTGAGGAGGAAGAGCAGCAGCCTGATAGAGATCCATCAGAAGCTCAAGTGCACCACCTTCAATTTAGGGTAGACCTATTGAGTGCTTTATTTCTTTACCAAGGAAGGCTTAAGACTCTTCTCATTCTTAGGGCTTCTGGCAAAACAAACAAGTTCGGCTTCATCCTCCCCCAACCATTTACATTGTTTCTCAAATCTCTGTAGCTTCTTCTCTCTAAAGTTTGCCCAACTATCCTGTCCTCTCCTTACTGTTTCTCACAGTGCCAGTCCATCATTGCCTGTGACACTGAGGCAAAGGGAAATAGGGTGCCTCCTAGAATCAATGCTGCTGCAGCTGCCTCTCTTTCCCCACCTGTCTGCCTTGTTCTATGCTGGCAGAAGAAGCATAGGCACCCACGAGTTCTGCCCATCATCACCTCTGACCCACCTGTGTTTACTTTCCATAGTGGCGAGGCAGTCATGTATGTTTGCTGCCGGCCCCTGACAGCCTTCTAGATAATAATCATCAGTTGCAGCTGCAGAGAAACCAAGTGGTATCAGCCCCCTTCCCCTTTGCTGTTGCCTTACAGCAGCCATTGCTTCAAGCTATGTTTACATGTGGTTGTTATAAAAACTGTAAGCTTGCTTTTCAACCTCCTTTCCCATCTCCTTTCCTTTTATGCTTTGGCTTTTTATTGTAAGCCTGAAGGCACACTTTCTGCCTCTTTTTCAAATGCCATCCTGGGAGCCATTTTGGCTAAAGAGCAAGACAGAAATTATTTAATACTTCTTTTTTCAAAAACGAGATAGCTGGGTTTCTTTTTATTTTTGGCTGCTCTTCCTAGGGAGTCTGGAGATGAAGATGAATGGGAGGACATGGAGGAAGAGGATGGAGAAGGCACCCAGAGTGATGTGGATTCGGAGGGTCCTTTGTCAGATGACAGTGAGATTACAGGAGAAATGAAAGAATTTCTTTTCATGCAAGAAGAGACCAAGAGCCGTTTCACAGAATACTCCATGACTTCTTCAGTAATGAGAAGGAATGAACAGTTGAGCCTTTTGGATGAGAGATTTGAGAAGGTGAGGTAACCTAATGGTAATGATTCGGTGAAGCTTAAAGGGCTGTTGGCAAATATTCCGCCACTCAAACTCTGATTTTGATACAGGCAGATCAAAGCCCTGTGTAAACGGCTACTTTATCATATTTTTCCAATGATAAAAAGACAGCTAACTGCTAAACAATCATACTCTGTAATATGTACCTTACATATTTTTGTTCAATATTGAGTAACATTTATTCTGAACCGTAGATATGTTATTCTCAATCAGCAGGGTAGCAAATAAATTTGTATTAGTTTTTACATAAAGGAGAAGGAAATTAGGAGAATGAAAACAATTGTTCTCAAAACTCGAATTCCTCTCCCTGTGTGGTTCAGATTTGTTACTGTAGTTATATAATTAGTTCCAGATACATTCAGGTTGAGTGTTGTGTGTTTTTTGTTTAGTTCTTTGAGCAGTTTGACGATGATGAAATTGGAGCACTGGATAATGCCGAATTGGAAGGTTTCATTCACAGCGACAGTACGCGGTTACAGGAAGTCTTGAATGACTACTACAGAGAGAAGGCAAAGAAGTACGTAGAATGTCCCAGCTGTCTGATTTCTTGGTGTGAATTAAAAGAATTTCTATAGAACCCTTCGACATCAGGGTGATTTACAAATGTTGGACACAAGCTACAATCAAAACATTAAAAGGCCATTTAAAAAAAAAGAAATTATTTTAAAAGACTAATCAAAAAGGCCATTGTGTAGCACGAAAAAGACAGTTGCATGAGCACTAAAGAAGCCTTTGCTGGTTTAGTGTTTCTTTATTCTGTTTACTGATTAATTTCCAGAGACTACATTGAAAGCTGAGTAATTTTTATTTAAAGGCATTTTCATGAAAAACACTATATTTCTCTAATTGTTTAATTTGGTTGTGGTTTATCTGGTTCATGGGGGAAGAGCTCGGTTGGATCTCTTGTTTATATTCATGCTTGACTGCTGTTACCGACGATCAATTGCTATGTTAGAAGAAGAAAGCCAAAGTCCTTTAAATATATAGCTTTTGATGGCAAAATGTTTGGCTTGACGCATGTATTGATACTTACTTCATATTGACTCAGGATAATCAACATTCTCTGCCTCTAGCAGCAATTATAAAGTGTGTGTCAGATTCGGAAGAGGCAATTGTGATGTCCTGTCAAGTATGTGATTGAAGGAAAAGGAGGAGGGAATATATTTCAGCGGGCTTTAACAATCAATATATACATTTTATGAAAAATAAATAAATACCTTTAATTATATACAACTGGGTATGCCGCGAACAACATAGGCTGTATTAAGAGAAAAATATTTACCGTATTTTTCGCACCATAGGACGCAGTTTTTCCGTCTTAAAAACTAAGGGGAAATGTGTGTGCGTCCTATGGAGCGAAATGCAGGCTCCCTGGCTTCAGCGATAGCAAGGCAAAGCCTCCGAAGCCTGCGCTCCGGAGGCTTCCCCGTTTGCTTTCCGCTGAAGCAGGAGAGTCTGCTCTTGAGGCTGGCGGGGGGAAAGCAGCGCTTCCCCCATCGCCAGCCCCAGAGGATGGGGGGCAGCAGGAAAGGCGCGCGACGCCTTCCCCGCTGCTCTCCAACCCTCCTGTGGGCTTTTGCGGGAGATGGGGGAATTCCCCCACCTCCGCAAAAAGCAGGAAAAGCATGCGCTCTTTAAAGGGGCTGCACGGCTTTGCTGGCTTCCTCTAGGAGGTGGGGGGATTCCCCACCTCGCAGAAAAGCTGCAAGAGCCGCGCAGCTTTACAGAGCGCGCAGCTCTTGGGGGCTTTTCCCCAAGGAGGGAGAAGGGACTGACTGGCCGAGTCAGTCCCTTCTCCTCCTGCGGACTTTTGCGGGAGATGGGCGGAATTCCCCCACCTCCCGCAAAAGCAGGCAAAAGCCATGCGCTCTTTAAAGGGGCTGCACGGCTTTGCTGGCTTCTCTAGGAGGTGGGGGGATTCCCCCACCTCGCAGAAAAGCCTGCAAGAGCCTCGCAGCCTTTACAGAGCGCGCAGCTCTTGGGGGCTTTTCCCCAAGGAGGGAGAAGGGACTGACTGGCCGAGTCAGTCCCTTCTCCCTCCTGCGGGCTTTTGCGGGAGATGGGGGAATTCCCCCACCTCCCGCAAAAGCAGGCAAAAGCCATGCGCTCTTTAAAGGGGCTGCACGGCTTTGCTGGCTTCTCTAGGAGGTGGGGGGATTCCCCCACCTCGCAGAAAAGCCTGCAAGAGCCTCGCAGCCTTTACAGAGCGCGCAGCTCTTGGGGGCTTTTCCCCAAGGAGGGAGAAGGGACTGACTGGCCGAGTCAGTCCCTTCTCCCTCCTGCGGGCTTTTGCGGGAGATGGGGGAATTCCCCCACCTCCCGCAAAAGCAGGCAAAAGCCGTGCGCTCTTTAAAGGGGCTGCACGGCTTTGCTGGCTTTTCTAGGAGGTGGGGGGATTCCCCCACCTCGCAGAAAAGCCTGCAAGAGCCTCGCAGCCTTTACAGAGCGCGCAGCTCTTGGGGGCTTTTCCCCAAGGAGGGAGAAGGGACTGACTGGCCGAGTCAGTCCCTTCTCCCTCCTGCGGGCTTTTGCGGGAGATGGGGGAGGTGTTGGGGAAGCGGAAATTTAGCTTCCTGCAGAGGGAGAAGGGACTGACTCCGAGTCAGTCCCTTCTCCTCCTCGGACTTTGCGGAGATGGGGGAATCGCCACCTCCCGCAAAGCAGGAGAGGTCTGGAGTAGCGCACAGGCTCGTGCACTGTCCATGCTCCAAGTGGGGAATCATATTTTTCTTGATTTCCCCCCTGAAAATATGGTGGTCTATGGTCGTGCGTCAATCGTGCGAAAATACAGCTTTATGCAATGGAATGCCTGCTGATACTGTGCAAATAAAATGTATTTTATTTGTGATGCACAATTAAGGGGAACTCCTTTGCCAAATTACACCTTTTCAAAACATAAGGTATACCTACCATTTTCTGCCATACCAGTTGTTGCCAGATTGCAACTTGCGTTATCCCTGGCCATTGACCATGCTGGCTGATGAATTCTGGTGCCCAACGAAGTCTGGAGAGCATAAATTAGCCACCGCTGCTCTAAGGCAGTGTTCCCCAACCTTGGGCCTCCAGCTGTTTTTGGACTACAGTTCCCATCATCCCTGACCACTGGTCTTGCTAGCTAGGGATTATGGGAGTTGTAGTCCAAAAACAGCTGGAGGCCCAAGGTTGGGGAACACTGCTCTAAGGGATACTGATCAATGGAAGAGCAGCTAGAGGCAGTTTTAAATTTAAATTTAAAATGTTTTTAATATGCCTTCATGAATCTTTTATTTTCCCCCAAAAGCTGTGTCAAACTTGAAGGTCTCGAAATCAAAGAAGATTCAAAGCTGCTCCCCAGTGAGGAAGAAGATGAGATAGAAGAAATTGCAGCTTTGGTTATTGAAGAACCCAAAGAAAAGTGGGATTGCGAATCCATTCTGAGTTAGTGTCTAGAGCTACATGTCCCCCCCCCCCAACAGCTAAAAAATGCAGGGATTATACTGCTGCTTTTGTGTGTCAAACTAGCACACACAGTAACTATTAATGAAAAAGGCCAATGAATAAGAAATTATTAATAGTTTGGTCTATAACAAAAGTTTTAAAATCATAACTGTGGCAGTAACTGATTGATTACTCAAACGGGTCTCTTTTTCTCTCTTTAAGGTACCTATTCAAACTTATACAATCATCCAAAACTTATTGAGGTTCCACAAAAGGTAAATGGAAGTTTCTATTTTATATCATTTTAGGAATTTTGACCAATAATAGGCACATCCAAGAATTTCAGCGTGCCTAGTGGGATTTTTTGCTTCAAAGGAAAAATAAAATAGCAAGCCTTACTATCTTGAAAATGGCTTTTGAAATTAAAAGCCATGTGGCATGGAAGATGATTGTCTCTGGGTGCACATAACTAGTTGTGTAGTTCTTTGGTTCCCTATCCCAATAGCATGTGTGGTCATAAGCTTACATGTTTTGGGAGTATTATAACTGTTCTTCAGACCTGTTTGTCATTACTCAAAAGTGATCCAGCATAGACTGGTTGGTGTCTTTTCTCTCTTCCTTCAGCAGTATTAAATATTTTTTGCATTTATTGCTCTCACAGAAAACAAGTTCTTAGTAACTTGTTTTACCTGGAAATCGGAAGCTAAAAAATTATCACTATTCTCTGCTTTAAATGCTAAACATACATGCACAGTTTCAAGTAATTTCTATGTAATCTGCCAAAGATTTTCAACAAGTATAAGGCAGCCATTTAATAAATATTGCAACAGAACAAGAATACATTTTTTTTTATTTAATCATACCCAAACAGACATTCCCCCCACCCCCAGCGAGGTTATAAATTCTGCTTTGACTGAACATTGATTTGACACTTAGGGCCTTTAGGTTCTGCTGCAATGAACTTTGGACTGGGCTGTTTGGGGAAGAAATCCACAATGTTATTGTTGGCTTATACATGACATGAAAAAGTATAGCAGGGGGTGCGGGAAGAAAAAAGATTTGTTAGTTTGTATGTATTTACTTTTCAGCCCAAACCAATTGAAGTGTCAAGTAAGACAGGAATCCCTCTGGGTGTTTTGCCCGGAAGAGGACTTACAGCTAAGCAGGCCGAACGCATGGAAATGATTAACGACAGTGACCTGCCAAGAGTAGCCACGCAACCACGATGCAAAAATGAGAGTAAAGAAGATCGGAAAGCTAGAAAACAAGCTATCAAAGAAGAACGAAAGGTAGGCTTCTTTAACTTTTTTCAGTAAATACTGAAATGTGCATTTGTCTGATTGTCACTTTCACTAAAGTAGTTGGTCAGTTTTAACTTGAACCAGAGCCATTGACATCCTAACTTTTGAACATGAACTCGGATAACTTCACTGTTTCCAGGTTGTCTCCCATAGATAAGCACCAACGGACTGAGACCATATTAGGCGTATGCAGGCGTATTTCTGCAGCATATGTCTTTTGACTTCTGTCCTTTTACAATATGCTAAATTGTTCTTGTGAAATAAAGGGTGCAGAGGGCAATGTACACTGAGCACCACAGTGACACTGGTCCTGATCAGAAGGGGATCACCTACTCAGAAAGGAGTAGGTAATTGTAACTTAATCAGAAGGTGACACTATTGTGCTATATATTAGATCCTTATCGATTGTTAATCTTCATCTGATTGGGAAAATATGCTTTGTTCTAATGGTGTTTCTCTGTATGGGTTTAGGAGGGGGCAGAAGTTCCTTCATTCCATTTTGATTGCCAATACCAGTATTGGATTTACGCTAATTTTTTACAGATCTTTGCTCGTAGCAGCTGGCTGCTTGCAAGAATCTTTGCATTCTTTGTGACCAGTACAACAAATTTAAAAGTGCAGCCCAGAAAGAACCCAAAAACTGGCATGTTTATAGTTGAAAGGATTGGTAAATCGGTCACTTCATTCCAAACTCACTACATGTTACTAGTGATAACAATATAAATAAACTAGCTTTTCTTATGAGATGCCTTTCTGCAGCATTTGTAGCATGGAATAGGCGATGTGGTGCCCTCCCAAGCTTGTGGAGGGTGCATTTGGGTTGTATCCAATGCTGCCTGTGCACAAACAGAATGGATTTCTGCTCTCGAAGGGGCTTCGCGTTCCTCCTTCTCCCTGCACATCCCTCAAAAACTGATTGGGAGGGTTGGAGGGTCTTCCACAGATGAATGGAGAGCATGTGAGGGGCTGCAGAGGCTGCATACTATTTTATTAAGGAAACTGCTTTGGGAACTTCTTTGTTGAAATGTAAATAAATGGTTTATCTGTGTAGGAACGCAGAATGGAGAAGAAAGCAAACAGATTGGCCTTCAAGCAAGAGAAGACAAGGCAAGAGAAAGAGCTGCTCAACCTGAAACAGAATATTCAAGGGCTCAAGCTGTCATAATGAAAAACAGTTGCTTCGTGTTAAGGACACTCAGCTACCATACTCTTTGCTGATACCTTTTGGAACTTCTGTCTTCAGCCTGACAACAGCAAAGTTTAAGATAATGACTTTTTGAATTCAGATAGTCACTTACCGGCATCTGGTTACATGCAAAATCATTTTTGGGTACCACTGAAATAAAATTGCTGTAATATTTTCTCCTGTGGAAGTGTTGGCTGGCATTTTTTAAGATGGGCAAACTCCTCTATAGTAAAATCTCTTTACTAGTCACTTTTGTCTGCTTTCATTATAACAATTAGACTTTCAAAACTTGGTTTAAGGTTTAAGTTAATACTTCTGTGTTGCTGCTTACAGGAATGGTGTTCAAGAGAAATTAACTCCTGCGATTGGAGAGGCAGGGTGTTATCTTAAGAACCTCATGTTGAAGTATCAGGCCATGAGTCAAATGGTAGAATTCAACATAGCACTAAGGAGATAATTCTGGGCATTTCTGCTTGCAAAATGATTTTCCCTCTCTTCACCCTGCGTGCTGTTTTGGGGATCTCCTGAACCTCCAGAACAGATTTGTGGGAGCAGTCCTTGCATGGGCTTCCACTAGCAGACCCATATATTTCAGCAGTACAGGCAGCTAGTCAGATGAATATGAAATGTTCACAAGTTGAGCATGATCTTCTTCCAGCTTCTAGATTCTACTGCCTCTGAACATGGAAATTCCATCTAGTGATCATGGTTATACATTGCTAGCCCAGCCTCCCAGAATTTCCCTCAAAGAACCTTTCCTGAGCATCTTGTGGTTCCTACAACACATTATCACTGTCCACTTAATAAGGAGGGACGGGGTCAATGGTAAACAGTTCATCTTGGCAAATCAAACTGCTAACTTCAAGCTTGCCTCTATTAGTTTTAACTACTTTAGAAGTTTCTGTAGCTGAAGAACCAACTGCCTTATTGAACATCTATTAAGTCAAGGTGTCCCATTACTAACACTCACTGATAACTGTCTTGTAGAGGAAACAAATGTATTCAGAGTAGCTTAACTTCTTTTTTCATGTGCATCATTGCATGATGGAGGGGTTGCATGTGTCATAATTGTTTTAACTGTCAGCCAATGACGTTTAACTTGGGCTTTTACAAGTAAAGGAGCTAGATAAGCAAGAGTAAACTACCTGGTGCTCCTGTCTCCCTGAAAAGTATTAAAGGCAGAATTTGATATCACTGCACTATGAGATGAGTGTGATTCCTGGGAATAAAACAGGAGCTGTAGGTATGTAATATTCTCAATCTTTACTTTGAGCTGCAAGTAACTTTTATGAGTGAATGCTTTTGCACAGGCTCTCTGCTCTTCATTACATTTAAGTAAATGTTTGTCCGTACTGGCTGATATTTGCAGAAGCTATTCATAGAAATATGTCAAACATGTTGAACAGACCACAGTCATGGAAGCTAACCTCATCCATGCAGTGAGTATGATAAGTAATACATCACTCAAAGTATTAACCTTGTAACATCCTTCTGGAAGCACCTTTTTCATATGCAGACTTTCTGTCTAATTCTTTTTCTAACTTAATAAAGGGCTATTTATTGGCATGTAGCAGCATATACATTAAAAACAATATTAGTTGGATTAATATCACGAGAAGAGGGGAAGCACAATTGGAAGAGAAAAAATGAGATTGTGTGGATTTCTTGGATGTTAGAAAACCCTGGATAAGTAAGTAATAACTTGTATTCTTCCATTTCACACAGATGCTAGCAGCCAGAATTTGCTTTCTTGTGAAATCTGTGGAAGACATTTTACACAGGATGCACTGGTAAAAACAAGACAATTAACCACTGAATATATTTAGTGACATAAAAGCAACCTTAAGATAATTGAAGAATGGAAAATGACTCTGTTAATGAATGAATTCAGTAGGCTGGTTCACAGCTGAAGTTAACCTTACAGCAGAAGCTTTCATAGACTGCAGCTTTTAAGGAATTCAAAGCAGAAATAGCAACAGGCAAGTACTTGGAAGTACTTGTTAGTGTTTACAGTAAATATCCCTCATCCCTGCCTTTTATTCAATGCAAAGTGAAGAAAAATCAGTAATAAATGGAAGCTCTACGCATACCTCACGTATCTTAGAAACAATTCCCAATGTTTCCTTCACAACATTTTTACATATGTTAATGTGTTTCTCAGTCCCTTAGCTCTGGGCAGTTTGGACCAATTCAAGTTCATGTACTCAGGAATCCTTTTGAATATTGGATGACCATGCTACATTTTCACTTCCCATTTAAACTACCTTTAATTGCCACTCTTAGCAGCTGCCACCACATGAATATCAGTAAACACAAGAGCTGGGTCCCCCCCCCATTTACTTATTTTTTAATTTACATTTATGTATCATCTTTCCTGGGTCTCCCCACTCCATTCTGTCCTCACAACCACCTTCTGAAGTAGGTTAGACTGAGGAGACACCGTGAACTTCATGACTGAGTAGGGATTTGAACCTGGGCCTCCTGGGTACTTAGGTGTTCCTATGCCTTCCTTCACCGCTTAGCTAACATGCAATTAGCAAGGGGAATTCAGAGTTACAAGTTTTAAAAGTCCCTTGTTCAGGCCATTTTAAAGTGTCCAGGGTGGTTTATACATTATCCTCAAACTAGACTTTTGCCAAGCCACACAGCCTTTACAAAGGCATTACATTGGACCCAGCATAAAAACCAAACAAGAAAAACCGATGCTGCTTCTTTTTTAAAAGTTTTTAAAATCCCACTTTGTTTACAAGATTATATCCTTACAGGTGCAACAGCCTGAGCCAATCAAAGGTGAACAAGCCACTCGACTTGGTTGGCGCTACAGCCAAATAATTACACCTCTGCTAGGGAAGACACACACACCTACCTTGTTAATATTTAACTTGAGAAAACCAGAAGGATCCCAGATTAGTCAAATTAGGTACCCACATTTACTCCATGTCCAGGATAGAATTCAGACACAGGTAATTAGATATACATACAAGTTAGGCATCATCTCCTTTGCTGACTCCCAAAAGCTTGGGCACACTAAATCAAGAAGGCTTGACATAATAATACCTTTCATTTCTCATTTCTGGAGCCCTCCATTTAGAGCTCAGTATAACATAATTTTGATCAACCCTTATTTGGCAGACCTTTCTCTCTCTCTCTCCATCTTAGGCACGACATGAACCAATATGCAGAAAAGTCTTCAACAAAAAGCGCAAGCCATTTAATTCCTTGAAACAGCGACTGCAGGGAACTGACATTCCAACAGTAAAGAGGAAGCCACCCCCGAAGGTATTTTTGAATCAGGCATGCAACTCGACCCAAATATATCAGTTCAGGGATGTTTCCCAACAGAGTTGAGGGTGACTTATTTGCCAGACATAAGGACTGTGCTAATACATAGGGTTGAAATGCCCTGTAAAAGTTACTGTAGCACTGAGTCATAGATCCCTCTGACTCTGCTTCCCTTACATTGCCTACTAGGAAGTAAGTGCATATTTCTTCTTCTTCCTCTTTACAAGCCCTCCAAGACCTCTTCATTCACTATGAAACTGTGCTTTTGGAACCATCCATTTGGGGCTCATATTAACATCTAGTTTAATTGCTATTTCCTGGTTCAGAAATAAAGATCCTAAGGATACATTATGCTTGCCTCAAATAAGAGGTGAGCATTGTGATTCCATGATTCTTCAACTCAAGATTAAGAAATTCATCTACTTGCCCTTACCCACCAGGCTCTCTAATCTCTTTCCATCTATGCACAGGCTGCCATACCCTCCCTCTTCAAATCTTCCACCAAGCCCAGGCTTTGGCTCCCACCTAAATCCACCACGCTCCTACCCCAAAACCCATCCTTCCTACCCACTCATTTGTTAGAGGTGACACTGTCATAGTTATCTCCCCCTTTCTGAACCTGGCACAAGAAAACCAAGGAACTGTATTACCTGTGTTTAATAGATAATTAAACTTTATTATTGCTTGTTATTGTTTCATCATTATAATGCATTTAACATCTCTTGAAATTCTCTTTTCAAAAACAGTTTAGAACTATGTATCTATTAATGCATCCTCTGACTGAAAAATGTGATTCAAGTATTTCCTTTTCAGAGCCAACCAGAGAGAAAATCTAATTGGAGACAACAACATGAGGACTTCATTAATACAATCCGATCAGCCAAACTTGCCACTATAGCTATGAAAGAAGGCCGCCCTCTGCCTCCGCCACCGCCTCCAACCATTAATCCAGGTTATTTACTTGCATTGAAGCTGTTCATCCTTGTTTAAAAATAGAGGGTTGGGTCCAGGCTCACATAGGGGCCAAAGATTCAGAGAAATCTCCTGCAGAGAGGAAGAGATATCCACTGCCTTCACCTGTGGGAACATCCCAAGGATACAATTCTGCCCATGGGCAGTCTGGGTCTAACTCAGAATCATTTGAACAATTAACAGTATACCTGAAGGAGCGTCTCCACCCCCATCATTGTACCCGGACACTGAGGTCCAGCACCGAGAGCCTTCTGGCAGTTCCCTCACTGCGAGAAGCCAAGTTACAGGGAACCAGGCAGAGGGCCTTCTCGGTAGTGGCGCCCTCCCTGTGGAACGCCCTCCCACCAGATGTCAAAGAGAACAACAACTACCAGACTTTTAGAAGACATCTGAAGGCAGCCCTGTTTAGGGAAGCTTTTAATGTTTGATGTATCAGAGTATTTTAATATTCTTTTGGAAGCCGCCCAGAGTGGCTGGGGAAGCCCAGCCAGATGGGCGGGGTATAAATAATAAATTATTATTATTAACAAAAACAGAGCTAGTGGATAGTACTGGACTTCCACTCAAGGGAGTAATTTTCAACTCAGCTACTGTTTCAGTGGGAAGTCTCTCAACCTAATTTCTTCATCTGCAAGATAACAAGCATAAGCCTGATTCACACATCATTCTAATTCAAAGCATGGCTTAGCATGAATGTGCAGGCTACTGGAGGAGATTGTGTCTGCTTTGCTCCCCCCCCCCCCAGTTGTTTTCCTACTGTGCAATGCTGAGCTAAACCACAGTTTGGCGCAGCATGTTGTCCCAGCCTGGGCTTATTTTAGCTTTCTCCAGCCTAACCACAAGCTGTAACCAAGCTGTCCTGTGGTTTGTCCAGGAGAGTTAAGCCATGAACCTGGATTCAGATGACAAAGGGAAACTGGCTCATTGTGGCATATTCACATTATTTATATATTTTATAACAGTGATGTTGTCTCCCAGGTACTATATAAATTGCTTTTATAGCCCCCGTTCCTTTGTTATATTCAGATTATATTCAGTGTCCTTACTGCATGAGAAGGTTTAATGAGGCTGCAGCAGAAAGGCACATCAATTTCTGCAAAGAACAAGCAGCCAGGCGTGCATTTGCTCCAGGTCAGAAAGGATCCAAAGCACCCCCTGTAAGTAATTTTATTGTATTCAAGCCATTAGTCACATTTTTATCCTATCCTTCTTCCAGGGGCTATATAGAATAATAAAAACAAGGAGGAGCTCTGCCAAATGTATCTCCCTTAATTCTTTCACTTTCCCATGAATTCTGGAGAAGGGTTGCAGTTCAGTAGTGGAGTATCTGCTTTGCATGCAGAAGGTCCCAAATTCATTCCCTGGCATGTACATCTAGGACTGGGAATATCACCTACCTGAAACCCTAGTCAGTGTAGGCAGTAATGAGTCACGGTCCATGCCTAAGCATATATTATATTATGGTCAATGAATACATGTTCATTGCAAAATTATTTATTTTCTACTAATTTTTGCCACTTTTGCCACTTCACTTTAAAAGTTCTGGAGTACTCCCATTAAAAGCTGAATGCCAAATGTTTCCAAATGTCACATTTTTTTGAGCTATAGAAAAGACTGATGGATGAATAAACCAGTCAAACCAGAATTTGCAAACAACAAAAAACCCATAGGAAAATGTGCAGAAATATTTTAACCAACAGACTGGAAGGTTTTCACCTTTTTTAAAAAATGCATAAATTATTTAGTCCCTGTAGGGTTGCTATAGGGGACGTGGGTGGCGCTTTGGTCTAAACTACTGAGCCTCTTGGGCTTGCCAAATGGAAGGTCAGTGGTTCAAATCCCCGCAACAGTGAGCTCCCGTTGCTGTGTTCCAATAAGTTTGAAAACACACCAGTGCAAGTAGATGAATAGGTACCGCTGCGACAGGAAAGTAAACGGCGTTTCTGTGCGCTCTGGCTTCCGTCACTGTTACGTTGCACCAGAAGTGGTTTAGTCATGCTGGCCAAATGACCTGGAAAGCTGTCTGGACAAACATCAGCTCCCTTGGCCTGAAGCGAGATGAGCGACAGGAAAGTAAACGGCATTTCTGTGCGCTCTGGCTTCCGTCACTGTTAGTTTGCACCAGAAGTGGTTTAGTCATGCTGGCCAAATGACCTGGAAAGCTGTCTGGACAAACATCAGCTCCCTTGGCCTGAAGCGAGATGAGCGTCACACCCCATAGTCGCCGTTGACTGGACTTAACTGTCCTGGGGTCCTTTACCTGCCATAAAGCAATTTTTCTAAGGTTTTTTCTCCTCCAGTTTGTCTTGTTGAAAATTATGAGAGGTTTTGGGGAGAATCTAAGTACTCTAGCTAATACAGTACTTAATTCGTTCTGGAGGTCCGTTCTTAACCTGAAACTGTTCTTAACCTGAAGCACCACTTTAGCTAATGGGGCCTCCTGCTGCTGCCACGCCACCAGAGCACTATTTCTGTTCTCACCTTGAAGCAAAGTTCTTAACCCGAGGTACTATTTCTGGGTTAGCGGAGTCTGTAACCTGAAACGTATGTAACCTCAAGTGTATGTAACCCGAGGTACCACTGTACACAACTTCAGTTAGTGAAGGGCTAATGTGGTGTAGAGGATAGTGCTGGATCAGAGAAATGTTGTTTTGAATTCTGCTGCCCCACACTGCAGAATATTTGGGTAGTCAGCCACTCTTTACCTAAACTTCATAGGATTGTTGAGAGGATAAACATATGATAGTCCCAAAGCTCCTTAAGCTTTTTGGATACAAATGTGATAAATCAACTGTACTGCATAATGAATGTATGCTAAAACGTTCTTTATATATTTACTGCGTATTTTCCAGGGCAAACAAGCAACTCCCAAAAAAGAACCAACCCTAACAAGTGCTGTGGGAACACTGCTTCAGAACAAGACACAGGAAGGCACTGATCCAAGCCAAGTAGTAATAGGTAAGTAGCAAAAATAACGTTGAATTAATGCTCAGAAATATTTGAGGGTCACAGAAATTATTCCTTTCAACTGCACCTCCCAAACTTTAACGTTAAAACATTTCATTGCATTTCACATTCATTAGCTAGTATGCCCTATCGTGAAAACCACCCTGTAGAAGAGATTCATTTTTGCCGCTGTTGCATATTGCATGTTCTGGTTAAGCCAATTTTGTAACCATTAGAACTACTCTAACAGTATCATAGGGCTTAGTAGGTGAGTTTTCTGTAGTTTACGATGGTTTTATAGACTACTTTTGAACTAATAATTTATTAATTGATATGCAATATAATTTGCTTTTTGGATTTTTTATGTAAACTATCTAGAGAACCTATTTTGGGGCTCAAAGGGCTAAGTAGGATAGAAATAATTCTAGAAACAGTGGAAGGGATATAGCATTTGGTTTGAAGTGAAATAAATATTCAAAATTATTCTGCTATATACTCTTGCCTTTGGTTTGTATTTTAAAACTGAGTTATGGAAAAGCCCACAAACTTTGACCAAGCAAACCTTAGCATAGTGATCTTAAGACTGGAAATAATAACAGTCAAGCACTTTCAAAATGCAATGAAAGTTTAATGCTTAAAGCTTCAATCCTATACTCACCTGGGAGCAAGCCCCACTGAACTCAGTGGAACTTACTTCTGAGCAAACATGTATAGCAGGGATGTCCAACACATCAATCACGATCTACTGGTCGATCCCTGTGAGGTTTTGGTAGATCGCTGGCCCCCTTCCGGCCCTGGCCCCTCTCCCTGCACAGGCCTCTATTGTTACAGAAGGGAAGCCGGAGTTTAGAAACCAGCGATCTAAGGTTGGTGGCTGCTTCTGTTCCTCCCACAGAAGAGCTGCAAAAAAGTCCCTAACCCTCCCTCCCAAAAAACGGGGGTAGATCACTGCCAGATTTTAATTCTGAAAGTAGATAGTAGTCTCTCGGGAGTTGGCCACCCCTGATGTATAGGAATGCACTGTAATTCTACAAATGAAATCAGTGCTTGACTTTTTCTGGACTATGCCCAGAATGTATTTTTGCAAAGGATTTTAAAGAGGTATAATTAATTTGTTATTTTTAAGGGCGTGCTGCAGAAACCTCTGGTGGAACGCTGCAGAAAAAAGCACCTGGAATTCCCTCTGGGAAGGAGCCTGGGTAAGAAACAAAGTAACTACATCCCTGGGTTTGTACATGAGTGATCCAATCTTAATTCTCTTAAAAGCTATGAGAAACAGTTGAGAAACAGACCAGTCAAGGAAAAATGACAATTCCAAAGAACTTTTTATATAGAATAAATAAGCTTGTAAAATGTGGAAATACAAAACTTACTGCAAGTGCCAGATACCTTAATGTAAACATGACATTTTGCTATTTGTATCCATTTATGTAACTCATTTCTTCAGCATATGGCCTACAATATCCATTTTAGTAAACAAAATCATATAAAATAACCATGTATTGCTATACCAGCATCTGTATCAGGGGTATAAAAATAGATCAGTTTCTCAAGGTTTTCTAGCTGAACTATTTCAAAGTGGTCTTGATCTGTACCTTGAAACAGTCTTAACAGAGTCCACCTTCAGAGAAAAGAGAAACTTATACCATTGTATATGATCTGCTTTATTTCACAGCCCTCCTAAATTAATGTTTTACTGCTTTTAGGGTTCCAGTACAGGGCAAAAAATAAGGGTGGCATGTTGCCCCTTGCCTCTGAATAAGAGCACTTACTTTTTACAGCCCAGGAGTCCAGCAAACTAGTTCACCGATAAACATGTATCCTGTGTCTCATGAAACCTGTATGACTTTACGAACTATGCAATAATAAAAGAAACATGATCAAATTCCTGGGAGTTGACTCAATATTTGCAGCTGGCATATATACAATTGCAGCAAATGGTTATGGACGATGGAGTCATATGCACACACACATGCTGTAATTTTAAGTTCAAGCCAAGTGTTTCCTATTTGTTCACCATTACATCCCCCTCCATTTTATTTAAGTATTTCCCCCCTCATTATATTGGTTAGCTACATGTAATCATTGGGTTTTGCTACTAATGAAATAAAAATAATCAACAGACTAATCAAACCTAGGTGACTTTATGTGATGGATGTGGAAAATATGCAATACATATGTTGTGCAGCCTCCAGTCATTTTAATGGTAATTAAAAGAGAGGACTGCATGAAACAGAGTAACAGCAACCCTCAACTAAAAGTATGGGGGGGGCATTGCTTCTGTACATGTCCACAAATATTTGAGAGCAATTTCACACTTAACATATAACATTTTGAAATGCAGGTATTTGTTTGCCCTGTAGCTACCTCTGCGCAGTCCATTACAGATGAATCCCATGCCGGTCTACTCACAAGCAAGCCCCACTGACTTGAATGGGCCTCACTGGGTTCAACGGGACTTGCTCAAAAATACAGCCTGACTGACGTCTCCTGTATAAATTAACGAATCACCACAAAACAGATTAGAAGGCGGAGTGTGGCATTTATTAGAGAGTTGCCTAAATTCCTCCAAAAAAAGTTACAAAATCTAGAGTGGGGAGGGGGAGGGGACGCGTCGCTTTCAGGCCTCTTCCAAGAAATTCACGCCGCCTCCGAGCAAGGGGAACCACCTGCCTCAGTCTCTCCTCACAGTTCCGGGCAGAATTGAGGGAAGTTCACAAGCCGCGCTCTCCGAAGGCGCCTGGGACTCGAAAGGAAGTTGGCCCCGGGAGCGCAACAAGGGGGAGGAGGGGCAGGGTTTGTTCCAGAGAAGGCGGCCTCAGGCAAGGGAAGAAGCCGCGTCCCGTCGGCCCTCCTCGTCGCGGCGCTTCCCAAAGTTGATCTCGCCCCGGCTGCCGTTTCCCGCCCCTTCTCTCCCGGGCGGTGCGGGGCGCCAGGCGGCTCAAGCTTCGTCGGGCTTGTCGACGGGCGGCCCGCACGGCTGCAGCATCTTCTCCATGAGGTTGAAGCGGACGCGGGCCTTGCTCTCGTTCTCGGCGATGGCGAAGTAGTTGAGCAGGTCGAAGTGGCCCATGTAGGAGCAGTACGAGTCCCGGTGCTGGTTCACCAGCCACTCCCACTTGGTGGTGTCCGCGTGGCCCGTCCCGATGTACTTGGACTGCAGGTGCTCCAACTGGCTATGGATCGTGTAGCGGTCCGTCATGGCGGCGACGAGGAGGTACAGGAGGAAGGCGGCAACCGAGGCGGCGGCGGTGTCTCAAAGCCGGCAAAAGCGATGCAAGAGGACGAAACCGTATCAGCTCGGCCGAATTGCCCGCCTTTGCCAGGCCGCCGAAAATCACCTCACAAAATGGAGGCCGGAGGAAAAGGAGGGACCAGACACGCACTTCCTTTTCCGGATCAACCTTGGCGCTATTGCGGTATCTAGGGAACGTCGCTCTTGCATCGTAAACGTTCGCTCTCTATGGTCGCAATTCGCCGCGCCGAATGTGGGGCGGGCCTTGCTCACGGCGCAGCCAATGTTAGTCCTCCCTGCCTGCCTTTTAAACGAATGAGGCAAATGCTTTCGTTTCGCATTCACCGCGGTGGTCCCCCCCCCTTTGTTTGTTTCCGTGGTTCTCGGTATGGAGAGGAGAAGTTAAAATCCCCTGTGAAGGTCCGTGGGGAATCGCTTTTTCCAAAGCAGCGCTTCCTCAAGCCCTGTAGAAAGAATGAGAGTGTGTGCTCATTAAATAAACACAAGTTCATCTCTCTTGTACAAGGTTTATCAGGCTTAACAAACTGCATAGTCGGGGTTCAGCCTCGGGTCACGCGAAGTAATAATGCGAAGGCGTGCCTCTGAGCACGCGCAGAATCCCTCCTCTCCCGAGGTAAGTGTAGTACCGGTAATTATAATTTATTTATATCCCGCCCATCTGGCTGGGTTTCCCCAGCCATTCTGGGCGGCTCCCAACAGAATAATAAAAATAATAAAGCAATAAAATATCAGAGAGCAGAGACTGACAAACGTGGTGCCGCAACTTTCCGACAGACTTGAGCGCCGAGCCCTTTCATAATCTAAATTACGACGTTTTTTTCTGGTTCCCCTATTCTGAACCTAGAGTCGAAATCCACCGTGATCACCGACCTTCCGAGGAAAGAGAGGTGACTGTGTCGAATCCCTCCCATAGGAAAATAACTTTTGCTTGTTTATTCTGCTTGCAGTCGGTACTCTTAAATAAATTCCTGGAATTACTGTGTAGAGATTGGTTTAAAAATAATTGGAAGTTTTGCCTGCGCAGTTAATCTGAATGGCCGCTGGATGTCGTAGTAACCTATTCTGGAAAGTCAACTCATTTTTATTCTTGATCGATGCTGCAAAAGCCAGCATGACGGCAACAGGGCGTTTCTAGGAATAGGGGTTAATGTGAAGGCAATGGCTTGAATATTTTATCCAAATTATGAAGTCTATTGCAGTACTGAGTCCTTTGCTAGTGAAGACACACATAATATGCGTGACTGCAAAGACCAGTGGAATGAACACAGCCGAAGCCTTCCGTTGTTTTGTTGACTGGGAATTCACCTTCAGATAATGACTGAACATTTGCTGACATCACAGCAGTCCTTAGCTTTGGTTTGCTTTAAGAAAAAACTATTTCATCCAGGTGAAGTAGAATAAAATAAGGGGAAATGGGGTTATAGGGTTTTAATATATATTTTAATAAGTTTTCTAGTTTTTAGGATGTTCCTGATTCAGAAACCAATCAACCCAAAGTCAAGAAAATACGGGGACAACAGTTTTAAAACAGATGCAGTAGCCATTTTATGTGATTCCATAACCCAATGGCAGACATTTAGTGACTGGTGCCCACGGCACTTCTTTAAAATTGCAAATGTGACCACTGGCCTTCCAAGTTTAGACACCCCTGCTATACTAGTATTTTAGAACATTTCACATAGCGATGTTTTAAAATTATTTAAGCTAATAAAACTTTCCAAGATAACTGATAATGCAACTGTTACACCTGTCTACTCAGAAACAAGTCCTACTGAGTTCAATGGGATTTAATACAGTGTGTATGGGTTGGATTGCAGTTTCAGAAAGTTCCAGGCTTTCAGGTTAACCCACTAAATACCAAGCTGTGTGAAATATACTCAGAGTCAAGAGTGGATTTCATGCTCTTTATTCAGCTTATAGTGGTGAGGAGGAATGGAAGTTCCCCCATTATTTACACAATGGCTAATTCCAGGATTCTCCTATAGGCCAATCAGGTTGTGCATTCACTTCCACTTGGAGCTGGATTGGGTGGCTCCTGTGGACCAATCAGACTGCTGCATTCTGGAGCCAATTGTTCTAGGACCAATCAGGCTGCTGCATTCTGAATCCTATTGTTCTAGGACCAATCAGACTGCTGCATTTTTGATCCTATTCAACTCAGTACATAACACTGTGTTTTCCCTTCTTTAAACCAGTCTCAGAAAACACATAATGTCTAATGAGAATCTCTGCATATATTTCTGCGATCCCAAAAGTACTTTTGGGAGCCACAGAGATATCACCAGTCACTGCAACGTTTACTTGTGTATGACATCTTCACACAGCACTTCCATATGTCTGCATCTCATGGCAATTCATTATGTATGCTCACATGTTACATTCAACAACTGTTCATTCTGTGCACACAAACAGTGCACACAAATAATTCAGCTGTATACTTGCACAGTTGTTCACATGTAACATTCAGTGAGTGTACAGTCTGTGTACACTTGCAAATAGTTGAGCTGATACCTGTCATTTCATCACTAACATGACTGACCAGAATGGCTCATCTGGAACAGCTGGAGCACAGATTGCTATTTGATATTGGTAGGCAATCTTGATTTACCATTTCTATAATTAATCATTATCACATTGAATATTTGGCAAATTCCAAGTTGAAAATTCAAAATGGAAGGTTATATACTTCCTGTGGCTCATACAGGCATTAATTTTACTGTCTCTTGAAAATAAACCACAGACTAAAGCCCAGCCTCTGTTAACATGCTGCCCTCCATATTTCTTGTGGTACAATTCCTAGTAGCCAGCTAGCACAGCTTTTGGGAACAGAATGCCCCTGCCAGACGTGGGCGGGCAGGTCTGGAGCTGTGGTACAGAAGCATGGCAGACGTTCAAGAATCTGCTGTTGCAATCCTTTGCCTCTGAGTCCCAGACTCCAGCTGAAGTGGCAAGTGACAGCCCTGTGGGAGGGAAACTTCTACATACTATCCATCAAGATAAAGATCTGGTGCAAGGATAGTAAAGTCAAAAAAGAGGGCTGGGTGATCTTTGCAAGTCAATGTACACATTGTGCAAAAGTTTTTATTTGAAAACTCATTGGGCGGTATTCAGCAAATTACTTGTGTGAGTGGAATGACTTTTGCTTGTGCAGTGGGACTTCCATGCCACCCCCAATTCTGCACCAGAGGGTTGGGGGGGGAGGCCAAAACAGATTTTGGGGGCACAGAAGGGAGGAGAATGGGGAAAGTCCTGTTGTGCGAATGGAAGTTGTTCCATTTGCACAAGGAGGTACTTTATGCTACAATGAATACAACTCAATCCTATCCTCCATTTCTCAGTGTCTCTCATAAGTCACACCCTCCCCTTCTGACCTCACAGAAATTCAAGTGCCAGTTTCAGGGCTCTAGCAAATGGAGGTGGTTCAAGTCCAAGGCTTTAGCCACCAGAACCCACCAGTCCTCTTCAAGCTCCTCATCTTCCTTCCACGAGGAAACTAAAAAGTCCAAAACTGCCAGATGTGGGGGATTGACTGCCCTACCTCTGGAACACATGGGATCACACAACCTCAGATGCCACAACAACATTGGGACAAGATCAGGGCAGTTGTGATGTCAAAGCATTACATGATGGTGGTAAACATTAAACAGGTGCTAGAAATCAGGGCTACGGAAGCAGTTCTACAGGACCAAAAGATTTACTTCCAATTCTTTCTTAGTTGGCCAAGAATAGCAGGGAGCTCAGGGTCATCCTTGACCTAAAGCGGCTGAGTGACCTAGTCCCAGAGGAAGAGGCATGTTCTGATGCAAACATGGAGATGGCTCATAGCACCCACAACAGAGGGCAACTTCATGGTGCCCATTTACCTGACAAATGGTTTCTGTGCTTTTGCTACTGCACTTCCAAGACAGAGCCCTACCATTCAGATTCACTTTAGCATTTAGAGCAGTTACCAAGATCCTGGTGGCATTGGTAGCCCACCTGACAAAACAAAGGGTGGATCATTCTGTGTTCATACCTAGATGTCACACGGATCCACTCACCTTCCACAGAACAGAGACTCGGGGGTGTGCCGATGACACTGGAGTGACTCAGGGCACACAAGTTTGTAGTGAAGACTTCTAAGAGTGCTTTGGTTGCCATGCAAAACGCAGAGCATCTGAGGGTCACTATAGACATGGTACAGTTCCAAGTGTCACTTTGGTTGGAGAGACAAGGAAGCTATAGGTCTTGGTCCATGTTGTACAGGAAAGCAGAAGGCATGGCTCTGGCACAACAGCTGGGGATGATGGTATTGTGCCAGGACCTGAGTGGTTGAAGTTTCATATCAGTGTTTAGATGTGAATCTAAATGTGAGATTATATCACTTATTAGATGTGAATCACAAAAACATAGAACAGGAGATAAAACACCAAGGAGCCCTTCTGCTGGTCCAAATTATCTGGGGAGCAGGTTAGAGGCACCTTACTTTTCAGCTCAGTCAAAAGTTGGTGGGTCCTGCTTCTGTGTGTGGGTGGAATCCAATCCCAAACAGTTTTCAGAGTACCATCTGTGAGTCATGGTAAGTAATTTCCTTTTCCCTGTCAATAGCTCATCTGTCAAAATTAATTTTGCTACAATCCTGTTTCCAGTTACCCGGGAGTAAGCCCTATTTAATGCAAAGAGTTTTATCACTGAGTAGGCATGAATAGGTTTGCACTGTTCATCTGGCACAGTCTAAGAGTCTTTCCATCTGTTACCTAAATGTAATTACCGAGCTTAGGGAATTCCACTCAAATATTGAAATGAAGATAGAATTGTTTTCAAACTCAAGACAAGCAGTTGAGCTGCAGGTGGGTTGCCTGGAGAGTAGATGTGATTAATAAAAACAAACCACTAGGAAATTAACTTGATGGATGAGGAAGTAAGTACACTTGAAGGTTCCACAGGAAATATTGCTAAATAAGAGGGAAGGAAGAAAAAGTAGATTACACACTGGTGTGTTTGCAACTTGATTTTCAAAGGACTAAGGGCGTTTTCACAGGTGAAGCTTAAATTGGATTTTCCTTAAATATGTTTATAATGCAAATGCCACACGATTAGTTCAGGAGAGGCTAATAGGCACATAAAAAGGTAAAGGTACCCCT